GCTAATATCCCATCACTCAGCATGGATGATGAAAATAGGCAACACAAGTGATGGCGACTTCGGATATTGTGGGCAACTGCCAACTGTTCGCAATCATCGTCATCCAAGGGAAGGGGCCTCCCATCAATGTCCCATTATTGTTGCATTTTTTTACATTTGCAAAGGCCACTTTATTTTTCCAGTTGACGTTATAAAAATGTGAGTGCATTGTAAAGGTGAACTCTGTGTTCGCTGAGGTCATACACCTAATCGAAGTGTCTCTTCCGATTAGAAAAGTACCATGGCTCCAGGTGAGGTGTCCGCAGCATTTTTACATGGTGCAGAAAATAGTTATTGCACTCGAAGATTTGGTTTTTCGTGTAGGAGGTGGTGCGAAGGTAGGCCATCCCGGCAAATCAGCCACTCTTCTAGCTCGGTAGGGCAGACGACAGTCCAATGCGACGTCCGATTTGAGTGAAAACAACTGTGAGAGTTGGCGTCAAATAAAACGTGAGGGTTGTGAGAAATTTACGAGACAGACATTTCGGCTATAGGTAAAAGGCATTTAGGACCATCCCAAGTCGGATTTACAAAGCATACTGGAGCTTTGAAGGGGCTTTCAGGGAAGACAACCTGCCAGACACGAGGATGGTGAATCAGAGTCCATGTTGTGCCCCTATTCAGGGCACAGGGTTCACGTGATCACATTCGAGAAGCATCATTCGGAAATCAGAACGCCATGCAGTCGTGTTGTGAAATGACGATGACAAGCAATGTCTGTGAGGGTAAGTGGCAGAGGTAATCTCGTTGATATCGTGCTGTGGAAAAAAGAATTTGCGAAAATTCCAGAAAACTGGAAGAATAAGGGGCTGAAGTGCAGCGGAGGTCATGAACTTCACTTCCATCGCTTTTCCTTCTACTGAGCGTAATCTGCTAAGTGATGGAACGATCATGGTCATTCAATAAATGACCAGGGAGTCCTAAGATATGCTCTTGGTATTTTCAGGTCAGAGTTCAAATAGGAATAGCCTAGACCTCCTTCCGCTTTACCTGGGGCTTCCCAGAATGAGGGTGAGTTATCCAGAGTATAAAGAAAAGCAAGATTTACCCAATTTGAAAGGAATTATGAGGTATGTCCCGGTGTGGGAGCAATGTATTTGATCGCCTGCTGCGACCGTTGTA